ATAAAATTTATTATAATAAATAGGCTGTGATTTCAGTAAGTCAATAGGAATATAAGGAATAACTATTGAGCCGTAGTGAAGTACTGAGGCCATAATGAATTCATTAAAGTACATGCCCATTTCCTTCTTCCAATCACTTACATTAAATCATCACTACTCAGGAGGAACTCTAGGCAGGGGCTTTCCTTATTTAAGATTTAATTACTAATTGATTTCTTAGTGGAGTTTATTGCTGATCATTTTCAATCAAGTTCTGTTCTATGTGATACCAGAATGTTTAATCCATCAAATGCTTTTAACTTTTATAATGTGCATGGAAGGATTGCTGAATGGGATAATATGTTAACTTAGAGCATCCCACTGTGCTTCACCCATTTGTGATGAAAAATGATTGTGTTCCCTTTTGAGAATGTCAGAATGATTATGTAACATTTTCTGGTACTGAATTATTTTAGATATGACATTCTTAGTAAGGGAAAAACTGTTTCAAGAAGTTGCAGTAGGCTTCCACTAATGTTTTTTTTTATTCCAGATTTTGCTTGTGCAAATTAAAAACAAAAAGACAATTATACTTTTGAGGATTGTTATACCTGCTGTTAAATTCAGCACCCTACATGTTTAAGTATAAATGTTTAAGGTAAAAATGGAAACATTTACATTTAAAAAGGAAAGCTTGTCTTCTTCATATTTTAACTCTCATTAACATATTTTTCCTGGTATTCATTTATTTTTAGAATAGTTTGCTTTATTCTACATGATATTATGCACTTTTTCTCTAAATATTCCTGCTCCATTCAAATTAGTTCCAATTACATTTAAATGAAGTTTCTTTCTTTAAGAAATGGATGACATATCTCCATCTTTCCCTATACGTAAATATGGACTTAAAAAATAAAATATGAATTTTACTTTAAAGTGTGGCATAAAAAGATAATATCTGCATGTAGCATTTGAGTACATTTTATTCTTCCAACGAAGAAAGAAAAGCCAGAAAGTGATTGCTGCTAAGTACTTTCATCTACAAGTTTGTCTCTGGAAACATTACTCGTCACACAAACATAATGGAAAAACAGAAATGCAGGATTACTTTTAGTACTCAAAAAGTGGAGGAATTCAAGGAGATGTAAGCACATTGGAGGCACCAAAAGTAGGTACTTCAGCAATTATCATCCATATCAACATTGGTGGTTGTCGGGTTTTAGAATCCACATAAGGTGTCCCATCTTTATGAAAGCCATAGACTTTCTCTCTCCCTTAGTGTTTAGAGGTGATGTTCTTATTCATGTGCATGACTAGTACAATCTTCAAATTAGATGCTTTACTTAGTAATTTCTCCAAACAATGGTTGTTCCATTATGATTGGGTAATAGATAAATAATATTCTTTATTGTGACAATAAGGTAATGCTTCAAATCTCACCTAATGAAGAATTTGGATTTAAGGTTTGAGGAATCCTGGAAGTAAATTGTCTTCATCAAAATTTTAAGTTGTAGATGATGGATAAACATTAATGAGAATATGCTCAATAAAAATTTAAAAATTCTGACATTGTATATGTTTTTCTGTAAGTTATCTAGCTAAAATCTCTAAACAAGATTTGTTTTCATTTTTGTGCATGGTTATTTTTCCTAACTTGTGTAGGTCCCCTCACTATCAATCATTTGTTCTTTCTGGAAGGCTCAGTGGAAGTCCCCAAGTACTGCCAGTGTGATAGCCATTGTTAACTGTGGTATTAATAAGAGTTCTATTTCTTTTTATATAAGGCAAAGTGTGTCTATTTATATTTTCTCAGGTTCAGTCTTTGAGTTATTTCTATACATTTACAGTAGCAATCCACTTTGTGTGTGTACATGAAATAATCATATCTATAATGTAAAGCCCATTTCTTTTTTGCATTTAGATAAGCCCTCACTGAGCAGAAACATCAAAAGGCAAATATCTTATTGCCACAACACTGGACTTTCTCATGCTTTGAAAACAGAATGAGACATGCAAATGGTTTTACTGAAAGTGAAAATATCTTCTCGCATAGCAAGAGTTTGTTACAGTTTTACCTGGTCCTTGCTATTAATCTCAAATTTGTTAAATTTTGCCCCTTCGCATCTTGAGGTAGAGAATGAAAATTGCCACTTAATCATTTATATACAATTAAATCTGACTTTACATGAACTCAGTTCTCTGAATAAAGCTTTTCTGAACCAACTTGATAAAGTAAAAATTACTTTGAACTATTTACAATGACACACTAAACAGTCTTATAAACACTTAAATATGAGCAATGAAAATCAATGTTATTCTAGGTCTGAAAATATTAATTTGTTAGCTATAACCTGCTATCTATGGCACTGCACAAAGCATATGTAACTGCTTTGGCAAAGGCAAATGCTATACAATAGCAAGACTTTCCTTCAAAATTTAAAGTAGAAGGAAAAATAAATTAAACAACACATTTAGGGAGGAAAAATCAAACAATATATAGACTATTTAAAAACCACTATTGCTATATTTGAGCCTTGGACTTGGCACTGAATTTTTTGACAGCTTAAGGAAAATGCAGAAAGTGCCAGTTAAAAACGGAGAAAACATCTGTTTCTCAGGGGAAGCAAGGCTTCCTTTACTACTTAAAAAATAAGGGGTATTTCTCAAGTGGGGATTCACACAGCGGATCTTTGGTGACAGACAAATAATTGACTACTCAGATACCAGTAGCAAACTTCAGCTACCCAGACAGCAAATGTGAAGAGTAAACTCATTTCTTATGGGGCCTGTCAATGAAAACCAACAAAAAACATTTTTAAAAACAACTCACTGCTATATTTTGAGGATAAAACTGAGAATTTCTAGCAAGAACATCTTTCCAAATATCTTTTACTTTTCCTACTTTTTTTCAGTTGTGTTTTTGCTGAATAAGAGACAGTTGAATATTCTTTTGGGGCCAAAGCTTGAGACACAGGAGTCTGCTTTTGTTGACTGGAGACCAGATTTCTTTTTTAATGTAAGGAAAGCAAACTGAGAACATATCAATATTAATTGTAAATGGCCAATCAAAATTTCATCACAAATAGTAAATCCAAAGTATACGGTATGCTACATGAAACAGCATTTCTGGCTTCCTACAACAGTATAATTATGCTTATAAGTCTAGCTTTTATATTGAATTGGGAGTTGCATGAAATAAGACATTTTCATGCATAGTGGAGTGCCTGGTATATATTAGGTTGTTGATACAGAAAAGAAAGTGTAAATGCTATTATAGATCTCTCAGCCCATTCTACAGAATATCCTTCTATTTCTGAATCTTAAAGATGATGAAATTTTAAGGCAATATTTAACCAACAACTAACTTGAAACATAAATTGATTCATGTTGTCCACTATTTTAGGAAATGACAGAATCAAACACTAGCATAAGAGGTCAATATATATTGCTGACTATTTTGGTTAGAGACAAAATTTCACCTATATTGCATTTGAAGTAGGTCTGTCATTTACATTCTTGGGCTAGGAGAACGGTTCCTGGCAAGTAAATCATAAATATTTGTCCAAAATGTTATCATACAATACATAGAATATACAGTAAAGGTCATGAAATATCTCTGTGAAATCCTCTAAAATTTATATGTGTTTTAAAAATTTCTACCATAGTAACACCTATTGTAATACTGTTCAAGGCATTGGCAAAATTTTGCTTCTTTGAATTCTTTTCAAAAATACTAGCTCTATGATATGTCCTTCAGAAAATCACTGGGACAAAAAGCTCAAAAGGCAAATATCTAAATTTTGAAATGGCTTAGGGCTAACCATTTTCATTTTCTTTTTTAAAAAAGGGCTTCTAAGAGGACTTCTACTGATGAAAATAGGAAAGAGCTATAAATGATCTATAATTGTATAAAGGTTATGAAGAGAACAGTGGGGCACACTTTATATCTACCTTTTTCATTTACCAAAAGCAGATACATTTATTTCTTTAAGGAAAACTTGAATTCATAGCACACAGATGATTATTTTCATCATTACACTTTTTAAAATTTTATCAAACGTGAAGTGAGATCAGAAATAGCCTTTTCTCAAATTCTGAAATGGGTAACTGTACAAAACAAATGCAGCAACTCAAAATTCTAGTTCCTTAATATTTTGTACTTGACCAATTGTAGGGAATACATACTCTCTCCCTCTAAACTTCACTAGACTCCTCCAGATTGTGTCTTGCCCTATGCAGCACCTCTACTTAGGTCAGGTCTGCTCTGGGCAAAACCTGTTTCTGGTGTTTACTGCTCTCCAAAGGCATTTGGTGGGTCACCGCTGTCACCATGCTGAGTCACCAAGCATGTTTGCATAACAGTTTAATTCCTATACCTTCAGGGGTTTGCAAACCATGATTTCATATTGGCCCAAAATAGTATAGGTTCATTTAGGGGGTTACATTTTGTTCTTTGTACAATTTGAATGCCTATATTCTTCCATAACCCCAGTTAACTAATTCTTGTTCTCACACTTAGCCCTTTTTGCAAGTATTTATAATAACCACTCAGTCTCTTGAAATAGATGGCTTCTTCATTCCTATGACAACTTTTGTTTTCTGCCGAGTAACATTAGACTTCTCTGTTCAAATTACACCTTGAGAGATGCTAATGAGTGGATCTGTTCTCCTATGGAACTAGTGTGTTTTCCAGCAAGAATCCCCAACTCACAATCCCAGGAAACAAGATTACTGACTCCAATCATACATTCATTAGCATCTATTAGGGTATAATATTGGGAAGATTTCTGTGATCGAACCAGAGTTTGTAGCAAAAGACTGGAGTCATTAATGTTGCTGGGTCAAGCTTCTATAGTGTCAGTAAATGGGGAATTTACATATTATACCTTACAACAGAATAAATTATCTACTTGTTTTCCTGCCCCACTATCCTTCAACTAGGCTACAGTACTCTCAAGTGACCTTTGCCTTAAATACCAATGTATTCTTGTACACTTAGCACACTACACAGGAAGGCTTACCTACATCATTGGGTGTAAATTAAATCAGGTCACAGAGGTTTTCTGAGTCCTTCTCTACAGCTTCAGTGCTATACACAGGAATCCAGAATTTAAAAATAAAATAATATTAATGAAAAACCAGATTTTTAAAAGCTCCAACAATGGCTTTCCTACAAACATGAATACAGCCTATTTTATTGGTGCTTCTGCTTTCTTGCAGATATCCTGGAGTTGCTAGTTAGTGAGAATTGTTGTTTACCAAATGTTCACATAGGCACCACACTAAGTATACTGCAGAAGTTGTTGTACACAGCTTCTACTGCTGAGAAACCACAAATAGTACCTGTCTTCAGAAGTGATTTCTTAATAAAGAATGTGCCATGAATTTTGCATTATCTAAGACAAGTAGGTAGTGCGTGACCACAAAACAATTATATCAATCTCATTTCCGGAACAGAAACCTTTAAACTTGCTGTCATTAGTGAAGTAACAGAGCCACTACCACCCATGAAGCAAAGCTGAGCATTCCTCCGCATAACTCTTACAGTCCCATGAGACACTGTTTCCCTCGGCTTGTGTGGACAGCTCTCCTGTTCCAGCTGTGTTGGCTTGCAGCTATTTACATACTAGGGTTTATCCTGGGCCTTACATATATTCTCACATTCAGTACTCTCAAGAATCCTTTAATGTCTAGATTGCTACACTCATTTCACAAATTAGAAAAATTAGGAGAAAAACTAAATAACTTTTCCAGTCATGCATCTATTCAACAATATATATGGGATCAAACCCAAGACTCTCTGATTCTAGCACCAGTGCACTTTCTTTGAGATTATTTGGGGTACATGTAAACAACCTTGCCTTTATGCTTATGTGTTATTCTATGGCTAAACTTATTCCAGAACTAAACTTTCCTGTTTGGTCATCCTTTGGGCCTCACGTTATTCATATTCAGATATAAACTTTAGGTAGCATTCTCACTCTGTGCTGCTTTTTGTCATTAGTTTCCTCTTTTAAAAACTCCTCTTCCTTTCATTTCCCAGGATTAAAACACCCAACGTTTGCTTGTGATTCCCTGCACACAGCCTTTCTATAACCCAGTTATTTTGGACTAGCTTATAAGAAAGACATAAAATGCCTTTTCTTTTATTGTAAAAATGAAACTAGGCAGAGAAAGGAGTTCAGAACTGTCTTGAATTGTGTACAGAATCTCCTGTTCTGGGTGTAGCTCAACATAACATGAAAACAACTGGTCCCTGATTTCCAGAGAAGGTTTCATGGTGCATCTCGGTATGAAGCCCTCAGTACCCAACTGTGAATGCAGGCAAGCCTATCCTCTGTAGCTCATTTGTCATTCTCTTCTTCTGTTAGATTTGGAGATGTACCATTTTAGAGCTGGTGGCCAGTGAATATCAGAGTGTGAAAATGCTGGAAGCCAATGGGTAGGTGAGAGCAGGGAAACCAAAGCTTACTTTATCCAGAGGAGCTCCATTTGAAACTGGATATGGTAGAAGAGGAATGCCCCCAAACAAAGAAGTGTGAATCATGACATGTGTGTAGTCTGGCATCCTCACTTGTGGTCTGCTCCTTTCTTCTACTTCTCTCTTCTCTTTCACTGTCAAACTCTCATGAAATATAAAAGTTTGAAATAAATTTATTATAATCTAACCACTGGACTTTATAATGATATGGAAGATATTATTAGAAATTCACTTCATAACCTAATAACTGAACCATAAACATTAAATCATCATTCATATGCAAAGCAAATCTTAATCTACAATTAATTAATGCATCCTTTTGTATCTATCAAGTGAGTCAAAGGTCTGAGAATACAGATTTTGTGATTACTTATTCACTTTAGTAATATTAAAGTTAAAGTCTATTCTTCATTACTGGCCAACTAGACAAAATAGTTAGTGCAATAAATAGCTAAAAAGAAAAGTATCATAGTATAATTTCACTAACTCTGATATATATTTTAGTCAAAGCCATGAATCAGAACTTTAAAACTTAAAAGTAGAGGATATTAAGAAAAATTGATGTGTTTTTATACATATTAACAAAGTGATTTTTCATGTCAATTTCTTCTAGGACCTATACTATTTTCCAGTTTGGAGTTAGGCATTATCATATGTTAATAATAGGAACACATCAGTGGTGCAAAAAGTTTGGTTTATTATGGGTAATAAATAAGACAATTTGAAGCAACTCACTTGAGTGAAGGTTTTCTGAGACATTTTTCATATGAACAACAGGAAAAGGCTTAAGTTTATAAATGTATGGAGGAACTTGCACATGAGAGAAAAAGAATAAATGTCATAAGGACAACAGTTGTTAATATGTGTGGAGCCATCCTGGAAGTCAATGTGTATGCTATAGTGCATATTAAAAAAGCCACAGCTCTAATGATTTCTCCAAGTTGAGTGGTTGTACAGCATTTTTCTAGCCCAACACTAAAAGGAGATGTGTTTTAGGAGTGTAGAAAGATACCATTTGCATGTCTGTTGCTTGTGAACAAGATTAGAAAATGGTTTTGCATACACGGAAAAGAGGTATGTGATACACTGAAGCAGGTTGCCAGCACATGGGTGATGGGAGTTATGTACTTGTTGTGCTGCCCTCACTATCCTTTAGCTAGAATGCAATCCTATTAGTTGGACTTACATCTTATATATCTATGCACCCTTTAGGCACTTATTTCAGAACACTGTACAAGGAAAGTCACCTGTATTATTAGGTTGAAATTGCTTCAGATCAGAAGTTTCCAGGGTTTCTTGTGCAATCTTACACACAAAAGATTCAAAATTTAAAAGGACAAAATTAAGCAAAAAAAAAGTATGTTTTTAAGTCCCAAGTGATGTCTTTTAAACAAAGATGAGGACACTTATTATACTAAAACTACAGCTCTTTCAAATAACTTATATTTGACAGTGCATAGGAACTATGATTTATTAAAGGTGAACATGCTCACCATTCTAAGCATAACAGAAGTTTTTCACAACTGCTTTTTCTGTACCCGATTTTTATCCTTCATAATGTTAATGTGTGTGTGACTTTTTTTGTTTGTGTTACTAGAGACTAAACCCAGGGCCTTTGCACTAATATATATCCTCAGACCTTTTTTTATTCTTCAGTTTGTGGTAGTTTCTCACTAAGTTGTTAGTGTCTAATCTGGGTTTGGACTTGCAGTCCTCCTACCTCAGCCTCCAAGAGTGCTAGGATTACTGGCATGCACTACCATGCCCAGCTCAGATTATTTTTTATTAAAGTATGCTAAACTATTAAAGTGCTAAACATACTTGCTAAAATGCAAGTATGCGTTGCATGAATAAACCTCACTTTTTAATAATGTGTACTCCTTTTATTCTGCTATTCAATTTAATTGGTCAGTATTTTGTTGAGAATATCAGTGTCTATGCTCATAATTGATTTATAAATGTTCTTGTATTGTTCTTGTCTAGCTTTGTTATCATAGTAGTATTGACCTTGTATAATAAATTTAGAGCTGTTCTTTCATGTTTATGTTTTTGGAAAAGAGTTAAAAGGAAGCATTTGCAACACTTTTCTAATTTTGCTTATTTTTTTTGAGTTTCTTTTTTAGGCTTTGGAACTGCTTCAAACTGCTTATTCTGAATTTTTTTGCCAAGAGGTTTGTAGATCCCCATTTCTAGGATTGGTTGCTGGTGCTTTATTTTTTTCTTTAGTGATATCATATTTCTCTGATTATTTGTGGTCTGTATGGCTTATTTTGGTGTTTGAGCATTTGAAGAATCTGGTACCCCCCTCTAGTCTTTAAAGACCATCTTTAAGCAGGGAAAGCAGTGAGCTCTTCTGCAGATTTTTGGAGGGTAGTGCACACCTGTAATCTTAGTCTGAGGTTGAAGGTTTGCTATGAGCTTGAATGCAGCCTGGGCTACATACTGAGTTCAAGGCTATATGATTATGAAGTACAGAGTGAGATCCTGGGTAGATGGGGAGATGGAGGAGGCAAAGGGAAGGGGAGAGAGAGACACACATACAGAGAGAGAGAGAGAGAGAGAGAGAGAGAGAGAGAGAGAGAGAGAGAGCATGGGATTCTGGAAAGGTCAGTTGTAGAATTTGTAGTTGGCGTTACTATCGGACTCCTCGGGTGAGCTCACCTGCTGTCTGGCTTAATAAGCACCTCAAGCTTCTGCTCATTGCAGTAGTCATAGATCCAGGGTTTGAATCATTTGACAAGGTACTGACAGAGTCTTGAGTCTGTGGGGACTTGGCTGTAGTCATGGGGATTGTTTGGTATTGAATCTATGGGGAATAGCCTGGCACTGTGATCTGCTGCAGTAATCTTAGAATCTAGATCCATAGGGATGCCCTAGAGTTTATTATCCTGTGGGTGCACATGGGTCCTGTGTCTGTCATTGCCCATTTACAATCTGGAACAGTGGATATTGCTTGGTGCCACAGGAGCTGGCCTAACACTAGGGATCACTGGGACATGTCAGATGGTGGAGTCCACCACGATGTTCATGTGTACTTTATTTTCCTTTGCTACAAAAATTTTCTCTCCTCATACTGTGCCATATGTGATTGAGAACCATTTAATACAGGTAATACCAATCTATCCTTTCTGTCCTCTTAAATGCATCTTTTCTTCTTTCTGTGTTTCACTATACTATTGTAAATTCTCACTTGGGTTCGTTAGCTCTCATGAAGGTATATCTGTGTGTGGATGACATTTTAAATTCATATTTTGTGAGGGAACAAGTCATGACCCATTATCTTATTGATAGCACTCCACTATTTATTTGGGATTTTTTGAATCAGGGTTTTGCTCTATAGCCCAGGTTGGCCTTGAGCTCTCTATGTAGCCCAGGCTGGCTCAAACTCATGGCAAGTCTTCTGCTTCAGTTTCCTGTGTTTTGGGATGACATGAAGGTGTCACCACCCTTGGCTTTATTTATTTTTAAATCATTCACTTTAAAATTTGAAAATCTCAATAATTTCCAAAATTAGCAAAGGTCATGCTTGGTAAATTCAAGTGTACTCATGTTGGGAAGTGGCTTGTATTTAGTATTTGTAATTAAATTGAAAACATAATTCAGAAGTGCTTTATTTTTAAATACTGCTAAACTTAGCAAAAATTCTCTATGATCTCATATTAATATTTATGCCAAAGTAATCAATAAAACTGCATGAGTTTTTAAATGTGTTTTGTTTTAATAGAAGCACAATCGTTAAAAGCCATACTATAATGGTCCTATTTCCTCCTTAGTGACTTACTCATTGTATGGAAAAATATCTCTTTGGTTTACAGAATAGGTGCAATAGCATCTGCATAATAGAGTGTTAGTGAGAAGGAGTTGATAGATGCACAAATTTACAAAAGAGTGCCTGGCACATAGTAAGTTCTCCATGAATATTACTATTATTGTCAGATTCATTAAAAGGAGAAATTTGTAAAATACTGGAAAATTAATTAGCCCAATAAGAAATGTTCAAACACAATTCACCTCAGGAGGTTTTTTTTCTTGCCTTGTGTTTTTATTGTTTGTGCTGAGACTGAAGCCAAGGAATGCTAAACTAAATTTCCGGCCCTTTCAAATCTTCTTTTATTTTGAGACAGTGTCTTCTTAAGTTCCCCAGGTGGGTCATGAATTTCTTATCCTGCTATCTCAGCCTCCCTACCAGCTGGGACTGCAGGCACGCACAGCCACCTTTAGCTTCATTTGCAGAAGATTCTAATAAGGTCTTAAACTCTTTCCCAAGACACTTTCCCAAACACAAACACACACACACTCACACTCCAAATAGCTAACAAATGGGGACAAAAACAAAACAAAATTCAACTTCCACCCACAAAAATTCCACATGTACCCCAAATAGGGTGAAATAATGGAAAAAAATTTTTAAAAAAATCCAGAAGGCTTTAATTTTTAATTCACCCACTTGAATATTTAAAGCAAATCAGATTTGATGGAAAAAATGCCCAATGAAGAAAATCTGGACATCTAAGCAATAGTCATGATCATAGATCAGTAAAAGCAGAGAAATGTTGAAAAACATATAATGTAAAATACAAAGTAGTTGCTGTATACAAAAAACTAACATAGCATGTAAGAGCTGTAGTAAGAGACCTTGGAGAAGAGAATAGAAAAGTAAAGACTTTATATTTAAACCTACCAAACTGAGAAACAGACATGGCTAATTGATGTCTGTATATCCAGCTTAAGGTGATTTGTAGCAGTCAAACAAAATTGATATGTCTTGACATACCTTCAGTTTCATGATAAGTTCATATTTTCTTTCACAAGTAAATATATGTATAGATGAGAACATTTTAGGTGGATTTTAAAAATGAAATTAGGAAATATGATAGATTTCATTTAAAAATAAAATCAGCTAATAGGATTATCTGGATCACAGGGCCCAACCTTACTGATTCAGCTGCTACTGGTTGTTTGAAAGCTCCAGTTGTAAGATAGGTAAGAGGTGATGACTCTCCCAATAAGCATACCCCTCCTCCTCGGCCCTCTACGCTTCTCCACCCCATAGGTGGGTCACAATTGCTGTGGAGATTTCAGCAGTTAAAATGCATTATAACTCCCTCTGGTACTGGCTTTATTTTAAATTAAAA